GTAGCATAATTCACACAGCGTTCATATTTATATTTCATAAATCACGTTGCTAAATTTTCAGGAAAAAGATATTCACATGTTCGACATAGAAGCTTTTGAGGCGTCTATAAAGGTGATATTTGAAAGAAAGTGTGATTGAAGTGTGACTTTAATTAGGGCTGCCAATTACACAAATGAAACTTACAAACAGCCCTATATGTTATTCCAAAAATCATTTTTTGTGTTAATAGTAAGAAAGCTATTTTGATATGTTATATTTATAAAGCTTTGTCATGAACTATTTGAAAGGTCTGTTAAGCTGGAATGGTCATTTGAGCAAAATCACTTAAATTTTTACTAAATATTTAGTGCTCATTTAGTGCTAATTTAGTGCTGCAAATTTAAATTTCACGCCAAAATAGCTTGATCAAAAATTAGAAAACTGCTAGCTTTTATTTAAGCTAGCAGTGTTCTACCTATTAAAACGATAACCGCTTAATACAGCACCAAATAGAAGCATCAATAATTTAGTGCTCATTTAGTGCTGTCGATATACGCAAAAACAAATATTGGGAAAATATATATTTTTTTAATATCATAAATTCTGCTACTTTGACGTCTTTAGCACAGTATGTAATGAAAAAAATGACATCAGAGTGGGCTATCACCTAATTATATAAGATAATAAATTAGTGCTCATTTAGTGCTGTCGAATTACGAAAAAGGATTTGAGAAATTATTATTTTTAAATACCGTAAACTGCTACTTTGACATCTTTAGCAGAGTATGTGATGAAACAATGACATCCAAGTGAATTATGACTTAATGATATAAGATAATAAATTAGTGCTCGTTTAATGCTGTCGATATATGAAAAAGGATTTGAGAAATTATTATTTTTAAATACCGTAAACTGCTACCTTGGCATATTTAGCAGTGTGTATTGAAAAAATTGCCATCTAAATTTGCCAAATCCTTTTTCGTATATCGACAGCACTAAATGAGCACTAATTTATTACCTTATATCATTATATGATAGCCCACTCTGATATCAATTTTTTCATTACATACTCTGCTAAAGATGTCAAGGTAGCAGTTTACGGTATTTAAAAAAAAATATTTCTCAATTACTTTTTCATATATCGACAGCACTAAATGAGCACTAAATGATTATCTCATATTATTAGGTGATAATCCACTTGGATGTCGATTTGTTCATTACATACTCTGCTAAAGATGTCAAAGTAGCAGTTTACGGTATTTAAAAATAATAATTTCTCAAAAACAGAAATATAATAATATTAATAAATATTATAATATTATAAATATTATAATTTCTCCGAAACAGACCGACTCATCGACCACGTCCAAATGGCTACAGATTCCTTGCTACAACAGGTCCCATCCGCAGAGATCGTGATCCTTGGCGATTTTAACGCCCACCATGCAGAATGGCTCGGTTCACGTTTAACCGATCATGCGGGGAGATCTGTTTATGACTTTGCTTTGGCATATGGTCTGACACAACTGGTTACTTCGCCTACGCGGATTCCAGATGTGGAGGATCATACACCTTCCCTGTTGGACCTTCTGCTGACCTCTCATCCGGACGGATATCAGGTTTCCGTCGATGCCCCTCTCGGCTCTTCGGACCATTGTCTGATCCGGAGTATGGTGCCACTCACGCTCCCTTCGCGGTTGCGTTCTGCAGGTTGCCGCCGTGTTTGGCATTACAGGTCGGCAGATTGGGACGGAATGCGGTCTTTCTTTGCATCCTACCCATGGGGGCGGGTTTGCTTCTCGCCGGATGATCCCAGCGCTGTTGCTGACTCTGTCACTGATGTGGTGCTACAGGGAATGGAACTATTTATTCCATCATCTGTGGTACCCATCGGAGGCAGATCTCAGCCTTGATTTGGTCGCTCCTGTAAGACTGCATTGCGCAGAAAGCAGGAGTGTTATCAAGCCTGGGCTGCGGCTTCGGTGACTCGGGATGTAAACACCAGCACACTTAAAAAGAAGTATAACTTCGCCTCCAGGTCCTTCAAAAGAGTTATTGCCAAGGCAAAGTCAGAGCACATAGGCAGAATTGGCGAGAAACTAGTTCGCCTTCCTTCGGGAACCCGTGCATTCTGGTCTCTCGCCAAGGCTGTCCAAGGGAATTTCTGTAAGCCATCACTACCATCTCTGCACAGGGAGGACGACTCACTGGCCCACGACGCAAAAGAGAAGGCCGACCTTTTAGGCTCCCTTTTTGCGTCCAACTCGACTGTTGATGACGGGGGGAACACACCGCCGACCATCCCGCGGTGTGAGTGCTCTATGCCGGATGTGCTATTCTCACAGCGCTCGGTTCGCAGAGCACTCCTCTCCCTTGACATCCACAAGTCGAGTGGGCCTGACGGAATCCCCCCAATTGTGCTGAGGACGTGTGCTCCGGAGTTGGCACCGGTTCTAACGCGTCTTTTCCGGTACTCCTACTCCCATGGCGTTGTCCCGAACTCATGGAAGACAGCTTTTGTCCACCCGATCCCTAAAAAAGGCGACCGCTCAGACCCGTCCAACTATAGGCCTATCGCGATCACCTCCTTGTTCTCCAAAATAATGGAATCCATTATTAACTGCCAGCTCATCCGGTACCTTGAGGATCACCAGCTGATCAGTGACCGCCAATACGGTTTTCGTCGGGGTCGATCAGCTGGTGATCTTCTAGTCTACCTGACCCATAGATGGGCGGAGGCAGTAGAGTCCAAGGGGGAGGCGTTGGCCGTTAGTCTGGACATTGCGAAGACCTTCGATCGGGTTTGGCACAAAGCGCTTCTTTCGAAGCTCCCTTCCTATGGGCTTCCCGAGAAATTGTGCAATTGGATCACCAGCTTCCTTGCAGATCGGAGCATCAAGGTCGTTGTAGACGGTGCATGTTCTGACTACAAGCCTATTAACGCTGGTGTTCCACAAGGCTGTGTGCTATCACCAACGCTGTTTCTTCTGCATATCAATGATATGTTGCTAACTGGTAACATTCATTGCTATGCGGATGACAGCACTGGTGATGCTCTATACACCGGCCGGGCCAATATTTCTCGGGAAAACGTCGCCGAGTACCGGAACAAACTTGTGTCTGAAGTCGAGTCTTTGCTGGACAAAGTCTCGGATTGGGGGCGACTAAATCTAGTCCAGTTTAATCCTCAGAAGACACAAGTTTGCGCGTTTACCGCTAAAAAGAACCCCTTTGTCGTATCTCCTCAGTTTCAAGGCACTCCCCTTCTTGCCTCAGCCAGTATCGGTATCCTCGGAGTCGACATATCGAGTGACGTGCAGTTTCGTGGTCACTTGGAAGAGAAGGCCAAATTGGCCTCTAAAAAGCTTGGCGTGCTCAGCAGAGCGGGACAGTATTTCATGCCGGCACACCGCCTGCAACTTTACAAGGCGCAGGTTCGGCCTCACATGGAATACTGTTCCCATCTCTGGGCAGGGGCTCCCCAGTGCCAGCTCCTTCCACTTGACCGCATCCAGCGCAGAGCGGCTCGAATCGTCGACGACCGAGCCCTTTCCGATCGGCTCGATTCATTGGCACTGCGAAGAGATGTTGCATCTCTTTGCATTTTCTTTCGCATCTACCATGGGGAGTGCTCTGAGGAATTGTTCGGATTAATCCCAGCCGCCAAATTTCATGAACGCACATCGCGGCAGAACTCCCGATACCATCCACACCATCTGGATGATTGGCGGTCCACCACTGTGCGATTTAGAAGATGTTTTCTTCCTCGCACGACTTCCTTGTAGAATCGATTACCATCAGCGATTTTTCCGGACCGATACGACTTAGGGACCTTCAAGAAAAGAGCCTACTCCTTTTTAAAAGGCCGGCAACGCATCTGCAATTCCCCTGGTGTTGCGGTTGTTCATGGGCGGCGGTAGTCACTTACCATCAGGTGAGCCGCATGCTCGTTTGCCCCCTCTCCTATAAAAAAAAAAAAAAAATCGATTTTCGTATATTGACAGCACTAAATGAGCACTAATTTATTATCTTATATCATTATGTGATAGCCCACTCTGATGTCAATTTTTTCATTACATACTCTGCTAAAGATGTCAAAGTAGCAGAATTTATGGAAATAAAAAAAATATATATTTTCGCAAGTTTTGTTTTTGCGTTTATCGGCAGCACTCAATGAGCACTAAATTATTATCGTACATCATTAGATGATAACTCACTTGGATGTCAATGTATCATCACATACTCTGCTAAAGATGTCAAAGTAGCAGTTAACGGTATTTAGAAATAATAATTCCCAAATCGATTTTCGTATATCGACAGCACTAAATGAGCACTAAATTATTATCTCATATCATTAGGTGATAATCCACTTGGATGTCAATTTGTTCATTACATACTCTGCTAAAGATGTCAAAGTAGCAGAATTTATGATATTAAAAAAAATATATTTTCCCTATATTTGTTTTTGCGTACATCGGCAGCACTAAATGAGCACGAAATTATTGATCCTTCTATTTGGTGTTGTATTAAGCGGTTATCGTTTTAATAGGTAGAACACTGCTAGCTTAATTAAAAGCTAGCAGTTTTCTCATTTTTGATCAAGCTATTTTGGCGTGAAATTTAAATTTGCAGCACTAAATTAGCACTAAATATTTAGCAAAAATTTAAGCTATTTGAATAGGTAATCAATTAGTAAAATTTAATTACGGTTTATAAATTAATGTGGCAGCCCTGATTGAAACTAATTTTGTTATTTTTTGTCTATTTAACCTATATTATGACTACTATTTAACACAAATTTATAATTAATAAAGCAAGTAAATAAAATAATTTGCGTATAATTTTTAATTGGAAAGGTTAAGCTTAGCATGGAATTGAATTAAAGACATCTTTGCTAACAAGGGCTAACAAAAACTATTATTATACTTCTGCTTCCTGTTTCATTTAATTTCACATAATTTTCAATTGCTAAAAAAATTATTAATTATAATGATAAAAATGATCCAATTTTTAATTCCAGGAGCTTCAAGATATGCAAAACAGGCGTCACCAAGACAATTTCATGCCATCACAGAAGACTGTAGTGCCCCTGAATCGATATGACGAGGCCGAGAAACTAGTGGCCAGAGCATTGTATGCTTTCAACGGACAAACGAACCGAGAATTAAGCTTTAAGAAAGGTGATCTGATAAATGTTCGACGCCAAATTGACACTAACTGGTACGAGGGCGAGGTGCACGGCAGAATTGGACTCTTCCCATATAATTATGTTGAGGTATGCACTGAAAAAAATAACAACAACAAGACAATTTGTGTGAGCAACACAAATTTGTTTAAACTACTTAAATCGTCATTTCTCTAAAGATGTCTGAACTAAAACAAAATTAAAATTGTATTTCCATTTTTATAATTATAATAAAAATTGACCAAAAGCGCGCTAGGACACACGATGTAACGTCCCGATGGACGTGTCTAATGTTTTCTAGTTTAAATGTCACAGTGTTCATTATAATTTAAATCGAAAATATTTAGTAAGAGCTATTTTCCTGGTTTTATCAGATTTTAATTGGCTTGACATTTCGAAAGTTAAGCTTAATTGCTAAAAGCGTTTTATAATCTCATAATTATTTTTAAGGTCTATAAAGAACCATGCCCACTTTTCATACATTTAAAAACCTGATAGTAAAAGTTTATGTATAGTTATAAGGCATATTAGAAAAACTTTTTGTAAGCTTAGAAAATAATGTCATGTAGTCATTTTTACGATTTAAACGTTACGAAGCCCAAAAATTTTAATGTTACTCTTTAGGTTAGGAATTGCCGTTACCAAATACCTACTTAATTTTTCTATCTCTTATTAATGTTCTCACCACTTATATTTCTATTCTATATGATCCATGAAAACACACACAAAATAGCACAATACACAACGAGACGCAAACACAACAAGTGATTATATGCTCTTTGGCAACAACGAAGGACTGCGCCGATGAAGTTTTGGCGGGAACTTGACCGACGGCGGTTTGCTGCTCCTGTATTATTGTTTAAATAATGGTTTGAAGTGGATTTTGATAGATAAAAGTAATGCAATTTTGTGTATTAAGTGTCTGCGCATGCGAACTATTAGTGGAAACGGTGAAACAAGTGCTCTGATGGTAATGTGGCCCCTTGAGATACCACAGCCAACTGTAAGCTGTCTGCTGGTCAAGTTGCCGTCAAAATCTCCTAAGGACTGCACAATGTGACGCATCAACATATTGTGAAGCAGTGTACTATGAAGGATAATTATACATTGTAACTTCCGGCTCAAAAGGGCTAGAACCCAGAGCCGTAAAGCCAGTTATAAAAAAAACTGCGGCGATGCCAATCGTAGAACTGTCAAATAAATCCGTTTCACTCGTGCGCACTCAATGACATACTGCACGATTAATTGATTTAATTATTATGTTATTTTTAATTAATCTGTACTATACAAAGAGTAATAAAGAAATACTTACTGATTAAATAAAACATATAATAATGTTTGAAACTCAGAAACAGAGTTCAATTAGGTCAGAGATTTTTGACTAACAGAGTGTAATTAAGCAGTGTGTAAAATGGAACGTCCTAGAAAAAGGATATAGACGAGGCGGCGACGTCCTTTGGGCAAGTTGAAATTGTGAAAAAACATAATTTCGTAAATTGGCGAATCCAGTCCTCGCGGGACTCAGGCGTTACTTTGCGGAAATCCATTATAATGGGTTTGTTATAAACTAATTTGCTAAATTCCGCGTAAAGAAAAAAATGATGTGTGCTGCCCCTTAAAAGTGGGCTAAAACTAAATATTAACTATATACATAGATCCTAAAACAAGAATTTAATCTTTTCAGATGCTTAATATAAGTGGATACATCTAAATTATAAAGGTTCCTTGTATGACAGTGTAACCCAATGTTTATGACAAACTATGCAGTCGCCCCCCCCCCCCCCCCCCGTTGACCCTGAATCACGGTGATCTGGGAATTTCACATCTAGCAAATCTTCTTCTTCTTCTTTTTCTTCATCGACCCGATTTGCTTAATCGGCACGCTTCACTTCGGAAACGACGATCGCAACACTGTAGGTCTCTTGACGCTGCTGTCCATCGCCGAATCAAGATATTTTGCGTCTGTCATAGATGCCATAGTGTACCGTCTTTTACGGAAATCCATAAAAAATCTGGTATTTCCATCGTCACTTCTTATGTCACCCTCAGGACGAAATAATAAACACGGCACCACACGGTTCATCTGGTAATCTACAAGATGGAAATACCAACATCTGCAGATAAAGGTTGACACTTATAACACATACATATTTGGTGATAATCGATCACTAAATCCTTAGTCACTACCCCACACGAGCAAGTAAAATTCATACACATTAATAACGATACATTACTTGTTTTCAATTATCTATGTTTCTACGATTGCGTCGCCAAGTGTATTGTAAATGGAATTTGTTGTTTAAAATGTTTAATAATCGAGTTTAAAAAACTTAAACAACACATTGGTCATGAGCTGTGATGATTCTGATATTTATTTATTTTTTTCTCGTGATCCTGATCCATAATAAAGTTATTAAATTGTTGTACTGTCATCGGTCCTTGACGTAAATATTCAAGTCAATCGGCCGTCTACTTACAAGTTGCTGAAAATTACAGTAAAGGTTCCGTTACACAGATAGATAGGTAGATAGGTCGAAGCTATTAAAAAGTGGGCAACGTGAGTTTTTAATCGTTTATTCAGTTCATACTATGCAATCGAAACTATTATGTCAAACTATCCCTAGCGTCGGGTACGACAATTTATTAATTCTAAAGACATTTTTTTCTCCTGCGTATTTCGAGAGGAATTTCTAAAAGACGAATATGAAAAATTTTCCAAGAATTAACCTCATATCCACGTATTGGCGAAGATATACTGTAGGTTATGTATTATAACATGTATTGTTTTCAATTGCAGATATTAAAAGGTGATTATGTCCACTCGCCTAAAAAGCCCATGATTATTGAAGGTCAAGCCCGGGCTAAATTCGATTTTACGGCACAAACAAACCTAGAGCTACCACTAAAGAAGGGAGAAATTGTGGTTCTGACGAGGCGCATCGATCACAATTGGTGGGAGGGAAGAAACGGCACGAAAACTGGCATTTTCCCGGACAGTTATGTTACTGTGCTGCAAGAGCCCAGTCAAACGAATCCCCGTAAGTATATTTATAAAAACCGCAGAAGTCCTCTCGTTATTTTTAATGTGCAAGTAGTATTTTCAAATAAATATATGATGATAAATTATGATAGATTAATAATAATATAACATAAAATAATCTATTAGTTAAAATAATTAGAGGGCCACAATTTGCAACGAGTTCTGAAACCCGGCTTTTTTATCAACTCTAGGCGAACAGATGATACTGTCCGGGCGTTGGCAACTGGTCATTCAAGCTGTACTCGCTCGCCACTTGGCTAGAGACTTGACCAATATAATCAATAATTAATAGAAGCAGTTACTTTGCGGAAATCCAGAATGATTACCTAATTTAGAGCTATCAAATTAAGCAAGACACATCATGTTAGGTACTTAATTTTAAACCAAAGACTTCTACGAGACGGGCTCTGCGGCCTTTATACCTTGCGCACTAAGTTATGGTCAATTTTCCGTAACTCCTTTAGACCTTTACTTTAGTCTACAGCAATCGGGCGAGTAGACTAGTTCTTTGTTTTATAAACTGCGAACATTATTTCTGACAATCAAACACTGATTTTGTTAAAAGTGACTAAGGGTACGCTGTCATTATTTATGTGCGCACTTTGTCAACGTGGTTTGATGTTTATTTCATATAAGTATGTAACTTTATTTCATATTAGACTAAACAATAACTTGTAATTAATACAAACGTGACAGCTACTCGGTTGTGGGAACGGTCGCGTGATGCACAGCAATGACACAGTGTTCGTTCTGAAATTCTGAATTGCCGATTTCGTAGTAGCGTACTTCTGAAATTCTGAATTGCCGATTTCGTAGTAGCGTACCTGAGGGTAATATGGGCATTCGGTTAATATGGTCACTTTCTTGTAACTCAAACACTGCAGTCTTGTTTGCATAGAGGGCTCTGTGATACGATAGCTTTTCACCAGTCAATCAATTAAAAAGGGCACTTTTTTATCAACGCTATTTTGACAGTTGCCAGTACAGGAAATATAGTAATTAAATAAATGTTTTTTACGTACTTACATTTTTCGAAGTGTTCCTAATTATTGTCAAAGCTTGTTTGCTGTTGTTTTCTTGATATATTAGTTATAATATACGACTTTGTGTATTTGTCTCTGTCCTATTTAAGGTGACCACATTACCCTCACGTACCTAATACATAGAAGTCTTTGATTTTAACACCTTTATTTCACGTAATTTACCGTGTCGTGGCAGTGTAAGAATATCCACTAACCCCTAATCATCCCATAGGTGTAGTAGAGGCGACAAAAGGAAACAAAACAGGAGATGGGCAGCAACGTCTTCCCAATAAGGAATAAAAATAAATTAACGCGGTTGCCACCAAGCGTAGGAACTATAGCAAATATCAATATGAGGCAATGTATGGTGGAGGCATATGTGAGTGGATTTTAATATGTTGTAATGGTAACGCTGTAACAATGTAATCGGTCAGCTGGCGGGGCGGCTGGTGCGGAGAAGCCGGGCGCGGCGCCGGGGGCGCACGGGCTGGTGAACGGCGCGGCGCGGCGCGCGCTGCAGCGGCACAGCTACACGCCGCAGCACAACAGCCCCGCGCTGGCCAACGCGCCGCCCGCCACCGCGCCGCTGCCCGGTACTGCCTTTTTACACGCTACCCCCACACCAAGCTTTTCTCCTGCAGCGTGGAGGCACTTTACAAACATAAATCGCACAAGGACAAACAACCATACACAACAATAATAACTATTTTTTTATAGGATAGGATTACAAACGAGCACACAGTGGACTCGTTTGTCACCTGATGATAAGTGATTGCTGTGACCCATATAAACATCTACATTTATCCTCAATAAAGAATCAAAATGCAGATGCATCGTCACCCGTGAGGACTAAGATGAATGTCTATAAGATGGAATGTCTCTTCTCCAGTATAATGGGTCTCCGGTTCTCTACACTCACCATACGAAACACAGCAGTGTCAAGCTGCCATTTCACGTTGATATTCTGTGAGAGCGACGTTCTTCCCCGGTCGAGCCAATCCATTCGTGCTACAATTATACTACTAACATAGCTGCAGCATAAATCTACCACGTATAAATAAATAAAATATAACTAATTAATTATAAATTAATAACAATTATTTGTATGCAATACAAATACCTGTACCTCAGCGCTGCAACTCATTGCTAAGCGAGTGCGTTATGGAGCCGTCAAACTACTTTCTTCAAATTATTATAATCAATTTTTTTATAGAATAATGGTGACAAACGACCACCACACCACCTGATGGTAAGTAGATGCTGTAGGGCATAGACAGCTACACCTAACCCCGATTAAGAATCTATATAAGGACTAAGTTGGAATGACTCGTTTCCAGTAAAAAGGAGTTTCCGGTTCGCTAGACTTACTATACGAAACACAGCAAGCATTAAGCTTCTATTTTATGCTAATGTTCTATGAAAGCGTGGTCCTTCCATGTTCGAGTCTACCCATTCGTGCTACAACTATAATGCTACAGAATGTTAGATGGTTGCTTGTTTTTTCCACGAAAAATACCAAGGGTTTTTGTTACATAAAAACCCTGTAGTTACCGTTAAGTGCGTTATCAGAATCAGTATTCAAACGTATAGAAATAAGATTTTTCAAAAAAACTAAATCATTAAAAAAAATTAATAAAAAAAATGGTTTGCAACTCTACCGATGCTCGTGTCAGTTAGAGGTAATAAAACTAAAATAAAATTTGCAAATAAAAAATTATTTTAATTGAATATCTTTTAAATAGTCGAGTTTTCTGACAAAAAATATTTCTATACGTTTGAATACTGATTCTGTTAACGCACTTAACTGGAATCACAGGGCTTCTGTTACATGTTGTATATGTATACTACTAGAGCGGCAATTTAGAACAAAATCTGTGACATAGCTTTGGTTGGCACGGTAAATATTACACGCAGTTGTATTTTCTTTTGCAACAGTTAAGTAAAGTTACATACTTATCTGAAATAAACTTTATATCACGTTGACAAAGTGCGCACATAAACATTATTTGCACATTATTGACAGTATTGTCTTAGTCACATTTAAATTATTAACGAAAATCAGAATTTGATTTTCGTTAATAACGTCCGCGATTCAAAAAACAAACCAGTCTTCTTGCCCACTCGCAGCCGACCAAGGACCAAACTACTCTCTGACGAGAGCAGTCAACTTTACGAATACGAAAGACTAAATTACCGAGAATTGACCGTTACTTTGTGCGAAATGTTTTGAATGAATTAGTACCGTAGTGCCCGTTTAGTAGTACACAAAAAAAGTCCCGCTGGGTTTCTTGCTGTTTCTTCCCAGGACAGAGGTATTTTCCGAAGCAGTGGTAAATAAAAAATGACTTTCAATAAGAATTATATAATAATCAATATTGAATAAAAATTATTGTATTCTATTCTATTCATATAATTCTTTGACTTTTTTTACCGGTTGGACAAACTATCGAATTTTAATTATTTAATACATTGAATTGTGGTAATAGATTCTTTTGCACAGCCACCACACTGCAGACAAACTGTAACAATATTCATGTGAAGATGAAGTTAATGGTGGTTCTGTCGAACAGGATACGTGACGAAACCAACGCAATCGAGCCTCACTCCATCCGAACGTGGTTACGGCCCGCCGTCGAGCGCCGGGTTAGACCTCAACAACGCGGAGCCGCTTTACGTCGACACCAACGCTGAGGCCGTGCCGTGAGTTTAAAATATATCTGATAACCACGTCGCCGAATGTTCATAGTACATCGCTATCATGCAGCGAGTCCTGAGTCCGAAACCCTGTCGGAGCTGATCCTATCGCATTAAGGTTACATGTGGATTGCAAGTGGTACAATTAAAACTTGTACAACCCACTTCAATATAAATTATTAAGGATAACTCAAAAACTATTGGTCAGACCTTTATCAATTTATATGGGACCACATGAGAAGAACCAGCTTTCAAATAAAAAAAGAATCATTGAAATCGGTTCGCCTAGAAAAAAAGTTATGAGGTAACACACAAAAAAAACATACGATCGAATTGAGTACTTACCGTTTCCTTTTTTCCGGTAGAAAAGGTGAAGTATTTTAAAATTTATTGAGTGACACTTGATGGATGTACCAAGAAATGTAAAAAAAAGAAATCTCTTCTACTCATTATACGAGTAGGTGGCAATGGAATATCATTTACGAGTAATCGAAATAAAAGTATCTTAATACAAAAAAAAACATACGATCGAATTGAGTACTTACCGTTTCCTTTTCTCCGGTAGAAAAGGTGAAGTATTTTAAAATTTATTGAGTGACACTTGATGGATGTACCAAGAAATGTAAAAAAAAGAAATCTCTTCTACTCATTATACGAGTAGGTGGCAATGGAATATTATTTACGAGTAATCGAAATAAAAGTATCTTAATACCATAAGTATATGGTAGCATTCAGTCAAATTATGATATAGCCCTCTCGTATATGATGTTGTCATATATTATACTAGCTGTTCTGACTTCGCTCGCGTATTAGGGTTTTTATGTATTTGCACGGAACCCTAATTCTTTTTCTAAAATAAAAGTAGCCTAAGTTACTTCTTATGAAATCAGCTACCTGCCAGTGAAAGTCCCGTCAAAATTAGTCCAGCCGTTTCGGAGATTAGCCGGAACAAACAGACAGAGAGACATACAAAAATTTTAAAAATTGTGTTTTTGTTATAAGTACCGTATATACTTTCATATGCATTTAGTAAAAAGCTGGTATTAAGACATTACAAACAGAAACTTCAATTTTATTTATTTGTATAGATTATAGATGATAGTATTAAAATGGGTCTTGTATCCATCAACACAATTTACGGTGTCAACTATACAATTGGCTGATGAATTTGAAATTATGCTTCTTTCAAATAAAGTGAGGTTAAAAATTCAAATTCTCGTCTTAAGGTTTAGTTATGGAGAGTACATAGAAATGTAAAAACATTTCTAACTACTCATGATAGGCGGCAATTCTCGTTTACGAGTAAAGTAAGCAGAAGTATGTAATACCATAAGCGCTTCATATTTAAAACAAGATGTACAAACCGTGCGTGTTGCCAGTGATGACTTATGGATCTGCGATGTGGTCCTTCACTGCTGGACATATGAGAAAGCTCAAGGTCGCTCAACGGGCTATGGAGAGGGCTATGCTCGGGGTTTCTCTGAGTGATAGACTTAAAAATTAAGATATCCGCAATAGAACCCGAGTAACCGACATAGCCCAACGGATTAGTAAGCTGAAGTGGCAATGGGCCGGCCATATAGCTCGAAGAACCGACAAGCGATGGGGAAGAAAGGTTCTCGAGTGGCAGCCTCGTACCGGTAAGCGAAGTGAAGGGTGGCCCCCACTATATGGAATGACGACCTGGTAAGACATGTAGGAAGTCAATTGATGCAGGTAACTCAGGACCGTGCTTTGTGACATCATTGGCTGTAATGAATAAAAAACATAAGTAAAATATGGTAGTATTCAGTTAGCAGAATTGTTGATGACGAGATAGTAACTCATTATTTCATATTTACAGATATACATACAATAAATATATATTTCTGCAGATATCGAGCGATGTACAAGTACCGTCCGCAAAATCCGGACGAACTAGAGCTCCAGGAGGGCGACACCGTGTACGTGCTGGAGAAGTGCGACGATGGCTGGTACGTCGGTTCCAGCCAGCGCACTGGACGCTTCGGAACTTTCCCAGGTATATAACTTCTGTACTTTATTATTTATATAATGATAATAATAATGTAAAATCCGCCCATTCTATCTTGGGCATGTGAAGTTAGTCGTAATTGTGCGCAGATATAGTTTTTAGGAAAAGGGTGCGGGCTGTAACTAAGACTATTGATTATCATTATTATCGATTATGATTCGAACTTATTTTATATTTCAAAGATATATATATATATATATATATATATATATATATATATATATATATATATATATATATATATATATATTATTCTATAATCAATAAAGACCAAATAAACTATTTTCCTATAGCGAGCGAGCGAATATTAAGTGGCATCACGCCGGGCAAGCCAGGCCGCCATTTTCAAATTTCGTACATGCATTTCAAATGCCTTTGAGAGCCAACTTTAGCCCAGTATATCTATTCAATATCTATCTTCAGTATATCTATTTCAATTATGCTTGTAAAATCCTCATAGATTATTAATTAAAACTAAATTTACAGCCTGAGAATAATAGGTACACAATATTTAGTTCCGTGGTCCGTGAAGGAGATCGAAGTGAGTCGACTTTGGCCAGGAATATCTTTCAAACTCGATTATGATATAACCGTCTCGTATATGATGTTGTTATATATTATATTATAGATGTTAGTATTAATAAGGGTTCCTTGTTGTGTAACCAATGTGTAGCGGAACCCTAAATATGGGTCTTGTATCCATCAACGAAAATTTTTAATATTTATCAGCAGTTTAATATGTTGGTACGATCGCTAACCATAGCGAAATATCCCTGCCAAACATGGCGAAAACAGCAAATGTTCCCTATTATGAGAGAAGCCACAGCAATCCACTGTAAGTGATATAATTTAAAATTAAAAATTTTGTACAGCTGACTTCAATATAAGTTATTAGGAATAAGTCAATACTATTGGTATGACCTTGATCAAATCCATATGGGACCACACGAGAAGTATCAGCTAAAGACATTCAAACTTATTTTTTTAAATCAAGATTCATATTTTAGTCACAGCTCCCCTAAAAATCAATTAAATGTATGTAAAACGATCAGGAGTAGGAATCAAATGCCACTGCATGCCACCAGCACAAGCAATAAATTTTAAGCTTAATTGCGCGACAGCTTCTGCGATGCATCTACCTACTTCAAAATCATATAAACTAGTTTTAATAAATTTTAAGGCATTTAACGACGGTTAAATTAAGTAATATGCTTTACTTTTATTTACATTATACGATATTCTCCAGGTAACTACGTTGAGCGCATCTGATAGCGCCAACCATCGCTGCTGCGTCGATTGCGTCGTGCTACATTCTGCACACGACGATCGCACTGACGCGCGCACACACGTACACACAAACAAACACATCAACACAATTATGACCTACATAGCGACGTCAACCTCTAGTGTATTAACTGTATTATATCGATATATCACATGCACACTACAATTTATAGAGACATAAGGACGTAAATGTGTGTTAGGTTGTATTGTTGTATCTGGTTTGTAAATTGAAGTTTAAATGACATTTTCTGTGTTATTTGTGAACACGGCTAAATGACCCTGGAAAAAACTCACAACGTCTATATTCTGTGGCATGATATATTAAAACTCTAACGTTACTAGTATACGCCTCAAAGTGCGTTTCAACTTGTTTTTCGACTAACATTTTCAAAATGTGAATTATTAATATCTTTAGCTTATGGTTTTAAATATATTGGATCAATCAGCTTGATAAATAAGCCACACGACTGTGTGCTGTATTATTTATTACGTAAAATACATTACGCTGAGTGGTTTACGCTACTTACTACTTTATTGAATTCAGTAATAGTACACATTTCACATCAGTGTATTAGAGTAGGTCTTATATTATGTAAAGATTTTTATATCATATCATCATATCAGCATATAAAAATGATGTTACCAAAATACAACCATGACTTTTTTGATAATATTTTATAAATAAAATGATTACCTATTGTGTAAGTTCAACCGCATTACCGTCATGTACAAATATTGCCCCAGTATTTTGCTTCCATTTTCTCTCACCAATATGTAGACATAAGTTTACATCTTGTATCTTTATCCTCCTATTTTATGTACAGTACCCGTTTTTTGTAACTAATTTCTAAAGTGACAAATATTATTATTAGTTCAACCAAACCAACAATTATCCAAAGTTATTTTATACGTCCCAAAGAATATGTTAATTGGATAATTACGTCGTTGTATAATTGTAAAAAAAAAAATATAATAAAAATACTTATATAGGTACTTGTAAAGTTGTTTGGTAGGAGATGATTATTTATTTCATATTATGGTCGGAGCGAGGGTGAAGCTCCTCTTTTAAAAGTAACTTTTTAAAAGAGAGTAGCCGGGCGCGTGGTATACTGATTAATATTACTAACAAGTTCACGTTTAACTGATTCTATTGCCAACTCAACGTAAAGTCTTTTTTAAATTCTATAAGTCAGTGATTGACTACCATCCCACCTAATGGTAAGAGGTGTTGCAGCCGAAGGTGGCAAAACGCACCGAACGTCACCTAATAAACACATTACAAATAAATAATAGCAAACTGTCATGTTGTTGATTATACAACATTTCGACAAAGTACTGGCAATTTTTCCAAGATGGCGTATTTTTGGATGGCAGTTAATAAAAAGAGTAAATATAAAAAAGTAAAAAATAGAATATAGAAATAATAAAGCTTGAAATAAAGTTGTTTTGTGTTTATTACGTTATACACCAAGAAAATACTTTATCATTTTTAGTTTTCGTTCAGTACTTTTACATAATTAAAACATTTAATACGCATTAGTCGGCAAAGAATTTGTACCACGTGTAAACAAAAGTCATACTTTGGAACTAACCATGTACGAATGACAACAAAGTTTTGACGTTTTGTGAGAATTGACTTAGACACAGCGTTATTATTGCGAGCTAACATATTTCGTAGAAACCGCATTAGTTCCTCAGCTATCAAGTTTCAGTTACCGCGCGGTGTAATACCTTTGATTATCGCATATACTAAATGTCGCAATACTCATGGATAATATATTATATGATGGTATGACACATAGATACGTCATAATCGTATCAATGGAATTAATCACTTTTTTATACTATCTCCTTCTAACCTATTTTGTTGTTCTTTTGTCTATTTACATGAATAACGAGACGCACAAAATTGTTACTACTATTAATTCGTTGTGCTATTATGACGTAGCTATATTAATATCCCTGTGGATAGCTATGAAGCAGGTAGGGGCATTAGGGCGAGTATAATTGGCAACGTTTGACAATACAATTTATATGCTTAGTTGAAATAAGATTTATATATTCGAATATAACGATATTACGAGTGCTATTAGTCTGAGTAAACAGTACACAGTACAGTTATCCCCAAATCGTTCATATGGACGACCTTAGTAATGTCTAGTCAGAGATTTTGTATGAACATAGCAGTAAAATAAATTATCACTTACATACATGTACTACTTAATATATTACCTTCAGCGCTTAAACTCCATAAATATGTGTTTTGTAAATGTTATCGTAGATTTGCTAAACCAAAGTTATATATTTGTCTCGCCCTATGTATGCTTAATTTTGTGTAGAAAGCAATGTTTACCTATTATTATTATTATTTTAACAATTTGTTGTATTTACTTTTGTTAATTTAGTTTTAGAAGCACAAATGTTTTATTTTGTTGTTGACACCTCGACATAAAAATTGTAACATTAACAGGCTATTGTTTTAAATCATCACACTTAATAAACATAATCTTTTTAATAAATCGTCTTTTTATTTATAACCTCAATTTTACAGTAATAATAATGCCCTCTAGACCGAATTTCGGTCTCGTCCGCCAGTCTCAACGCAGACTAGCCATCTGTGTAAGATAGGAATATAAGTAGTGTATGACTGTATGCGCTAGCACAGACGTAATTACCATTCTTTCAATCTGATAGTTCAATAGGACGATATCCCGACGACCGAAGATAGAACAGGTGCAGTACCAGCAGCTTTACCTGCTTCACAAGGCGCCGCCCAACTCCATACTCCGGGCTGCTACTGATAATTTTATGTCAGAAAAGCCCAATAACTGATTTAGGCCCGACCCAGGACTCAAACCCGGGATCAGTAACCGTGTGTACGACAACTAGACCAACGAAGCAGTCCAAGAAAGTAGCATGGTATATATGCCGTGACGGAGCCGCGAGTCGTTAGATGACAGGGAAATCTTCCTGCACATCTAACAGTTACATTAATACGTTTTTAGTTATGGTCTGACTTAAGCGCATGATGGGCATTGGCCTCAACTATTACACTGAAAATGGAGCAATGGTGAATACATACATTACGGCGCAAACTTAGCGCAGTTGATATTTACATGGTACCATGGTCTACGTGACGGCAAGACTTATAACTTGTAATCAAGCAACAGATTGCCTGTCCACTGGCTTAGCCACTGCTTTTAGATGGGTTAAATCTTCCTTTCGCATTTCTCGCGAGATCAGCGAGCTCTATGTTTAGTATGCTTTCTAAAATGTTTTAACGAGTTGTCAAAAAAATTTACCTTATTTAGAAATATTACGAGAGACATATTCCGACGATTAAACTATAGTGAGAATATCCGTATAGGGTCGACGTATAGTTGTACTACTAAACAAACGATAAATTAAAGTTCTTTTTGCATTACACACATTATAGTAGGGGAGCCCAAGCGGGGATTTTGGGATTTACTCAAGCGCGGCAGAATTTCACAAAAGGGGAAACCTTGCACCCTGTTGAGTACTCCAAATGTGAGCCCTTTATATATCTTATAGTATATTATCACACATATATATCTGTATATAATGATGTTATGTGGTTAAAATTTGTAAAAATATACTGTGTGTATATGTATTTCCGGTTCTTCTAGTAACTTCTCTAATCACTATAAATACCTTAAGTATTTTGGTCAATTTATTTAATACCACGTGAAGTAAACGTGAAGTATGAATCACCGTATTAATTACACAGAAATACTACAGTGATATAAGTGTGTACGCCGTGTAGCGGCGATGTAAGATTATCCACTACTCGATATCATTCCGTACCGTGGGTGTAGTAAGAGGCGACAGAGGGAAATAAATCAGGAGATGGGCAGCATCGTCTTCCTAATAACGACATAAATAAGAAACTACGGTTACCAACCCGCTTACAAAGCGTGGCCACTATGGTAAATATTCCTCTTATGAGGCAATCTATGGAGGAGACCTACCTGTGTTTAGCAGTACTACGCGTTCATTTCTTGTTTGCCGTCGTCGACCGTTATGACGTCACAGCTAACGGTACCGTAGGCGTAAATATATTTCAGTTGCATTTTCGTTGCTATCGGTACTATAAGTAAGGGTGACGATTGAGCCGCGGTATAAGGGAGCGCGGCGGGAGGTAACGAAGAACACGTAGTAGACTTTAATAGGCTGTAACGGTAACGGTAACGGTAAGTGTGTGTACAGATCAGAGGTTTTTTGGTATTCACTCACTCGCTCATTCTCACATACACGTGCCCAATGTAAAGCTAGTAAAGCTATGTGATAAGATGTAAAGTATAATATACATTTTTGGTTCGTTTAATAGTACAGTAAGCATTAGGCTGCGACGTTGCTGACGGCTGTGGGTCGATTTAAGAATTTAGAATCGTAGGGAAAATTTTGGGGAAACCGCGGAATCAAATATATATTTGGCCTAATTTAATAATTGTTATATAATTGTTCCGGATCCTAGGTATTGACACGTTCTCAGTGCCACGATACAGGGGAAATTCTTATTGTGTGGACAATTTTTAAGTGTGAATGACGTGGTAACAATCACAATACAACCGGACTTAAAAACTAACAAATGGGGTTTTTGGTACTATATTAATCAATGATTTTTGGAAAAAAAAAATGTTGGCACTGACCTAAATTCCTCAGTTATAGAATTTAAGTTAATTTCGAACCAAGGATATGCATAACCACGTACTCAGGCCATCAAGCGTTGGTCTAAGAGCTAGCAACGTTTTCGAAAGATCATTTCAGGTAGGCTAGTTTTTACTAAAATAAACTAGCCGAAAAAAACATTCGAAATAATAATGTAACACTTTTATACTTACTGGTACTGGTACTACCAGAGAATATTGTGGATATACTGCATTTTTTAAAATGGTGCATTTCTCATTACTGTATGTAACTATGTACCTACCAAAGACATTTTATATTTAAATCTCTTTGGTACC